GGGGCCCCCTGATAAATTGAGACAAGTGGCCCGCCTGTATCAGCCTCTCAATGGCGGTTTTCAACTGATGGCAGTCGTCGGTTTTGTGTCCGTGGTGGCGGTGAAAGCGGCAATAGGGCTCATCAGGGCCGATGGCATAAATCTCGAGGGGTGTGCGGGAGTCTCGCTCCACGAGCCCCCGCTCTTTTGCGTGATCCAGAATGACGCTGACGGGATGCGTCAGGGGAGTGCGTGGGTGCTCAAGGAGGACGGGTTGCGCCCATGCCTTCGGATTGTTCTTGTAACCGCCCCCGGGTCTGGCTTGGCCACCTCGGGGGCGATCGTTGTACTGTGCCTCTCGGTTGGCCGGAGGGGGAGGCCCTCCGGGCCGATTCCTGCCTTCATTTTTCTGGGAAGGATCTGTGTTGCGGCGATCCTTCTCGATTTCCTCCGCCTCGGCATAGCGGTCCCCCCGCTGAAGGGCTTTTGTATAATCGCGGGGGGATCAGTGATGAGGCTCCGGGAGAAGTTACCGTTGCGGAGGACGGTGTGGAAGAGGGCCATCAGTGTCCTATCATCGGCGCCCTCGACTTCAAGGGAGGCTTGCCTCCAGCGTTCCAGGAAACTCCGAAGGGTTTCCTCCTTCTGTTGTCTCACATTCAGAAGGTGGGAGAAGTGTTTCATTGAGCGGTGCCTCCCGGCAAACAATGTGAGGAAGCGATGGGCAAGTTCTTGCCAAGAATCGATGCTGCCTTCGGGCAACCGGTTGAACCACTCATACGCTGGTCCCTCCAAGGTGGAAAGGAACCAACGGCATATGAATTCATCCGAGGCCCCCATCATCATCATGCTATTTTGATAGAGGCTATAATGTTCTTGGGGATCCGTCTTCCCCTCATACGGCTTGATAGGTTGCCCCCGGTATTTATGCGGGATCTTGGCCGCCAGCACCCTTGGGGTGAATGGCGTCCTGGTGCGGAGCTGGATGAGGGGCTCGCCTGAGCCCTCGGCGAGCTTACGCTTCATTTCTTCCACTTGTGCCCGGAGGTCAACGTACTCCGGATCTGGCCTTGCTGTGGAAGCCGTCGGGGGTGCCTGACGATTCTCCTCAAGCTGACGGAGGAGGGCTTCGATGATTTCGTCCTTGGGGTCCTTCGGGGCAACCCCTTGGGAGTTGGCCCGGAAGGATTGTGCCTGATCAATTTGGTGCCTGGCATCATCGGCATGGAGGAGGGCTTTGCCTTTGCTCCGGGGTGGAGGCATGCCCTCGGCTCCCGAAGCGGAGGCTCCGCTCTCCTGGGGCCTGTTGAATTCCTGCCTGCCGAGGCGGTCTTGGACCCCTCGGCGCCCGGGAACTCCCCCCAACCTCTCAAGCGCAGAGGTTCGGGGTTTCTCCTTCATCATGGGGCGCTTATCCCTGGATTGGGCCTCCTGGGAGGCGGTATCCTGCGCTATGACCCCCTCGGCATTGCCAATCCCCGGGGAAGGATTGTTGAACAATGGAGGGAGTGGTGGCAGTTGGATGACATTCCCTCCTGCGTAGGGCTGAAGGGGTGCTTGAGAGACGAGGGCTCCGGAATTGAGAGCCATGTTTTGGACAAAGGCCGCAAAGGCAGCCTGAAGATCGATGGCCGGGGCCGGAGGGGGAACTTGGTTCTCACTCCGATCCCTCCTTCGATTATCAAGGCCAATGCGGGCATCAGGGGCGTTCTTCTGTAGCTGCTGACGGAGGTCAGTGGTAGCCTGTTCCAATTCGAGGATGACACCACCCTCGGGTACTAAGAGCCTGTTGGAGGCCTCAGCCCCGTTAGTTTCGCCGGGGGCTACGTGGTTCTCCTCGAGGGTTTTGGATTGGGCACGAGTTGTTCTTCCCATTTTTGGTAGGTGTTTTGAGTTTGGTAGGGGGGAGGGTTTCTTACTTGATTGTTCTGACCTCTCAACGAGAGCACCAAATGATTGACAATCTACCCCGGGGGGTATCTTATCCGAGGGGTTATTGCGGGAATAACTAGAGAGAAGTCAGAGTAAATAGGAGGAGAGAGAGTCGATTTTATTAAATGAACTCAGCGTGTCTTACAAGGAGAATAAGGGCTGCTATTTATAGCAGCAATAAATGCGATTAGAGTACACGTGTCAGTAATCCGACGGCCGAGGGGTCACATCAGCCGGGTGGCACCGGCAGTGGTACGTTCACCGCATTGAATGCGGTTGGCGGATGTGACGTGGTATTAAATGTGGTGGTTGGCTGTCTCCAAAAGGAATCTTCGATGACTTAGCATGTTCGGCCGAAGGCTCTTGTGTAGCCGAGGGCTCCATGTGGCCAAGGACCCCTGTGTAGTCGAAGGCCTTGTGTGACCGAAGGCTTGGTTCAACCGAAGGCTCCTCCGATGCCGAGGGCTTGATAGTGCCGAAGGCTCATGTTTTTCGCCGTTTTCTCCCAGTAGCTTCGTACGCCAGAGAAGGCTATCCTGTGAGTTTTGGAGCCTTCGGCCAAGGAGGCCGAAGGCACCCCAGTGTGTATTCCGGGCTACTTTGAGGCTTGGGCCGTTGTATTTGGGCCTGAGTTGTTTCCTGGGCTCAATGGACTTGTGTAGGAGAAGTAGGAGTCTATGGGCTGGGGGTTCCTGGGCCATATACTCCATCAACCGGTTTGCCGGAAAACACCTTCTCGGAAGGTTCTGACGTTTATACCACTTTTGGTTGTGAAACCTTGTTAGGAATTTTACCAAGGTATTCTAGACTTCTCAAGGAATCTAGGAGTGGCCGGAAAGTCGCCGTAGCCACCGGAGTTTTCGCCGGAAAATTCAAAAGTCGCCGGAGTTCAAACAAAGAAGATAAAAGCTTGCTAGCGTCATTTCAAGGTGAGTGGACGACTACGTGTCTTGTAACTCTTGAGTCAAACGTGGGATTACCTAAATAAAATCATAATCATGATTTGAGGAATGATTAAATGTATTAAAATGCATGATTAGTCATGGTGAACATGATTAATGAAAAACAGATTAATTTATTAATTAGTCATGAGTATATTTTTCTTAAATGAATAAGAAGGTATACTTGGACTATGTATGAGACTAACTAGAGTAATCTAGTGAATGAATACATGAAAATATATGTGAACTTGTGATTATCCATATTAAATATGGATTATGGAAGTATTATATGATTAATGAAAATTAGATTGATTTATTAATTAATCATGAGTATATATTTCTTAAATGTATAAGAAGATATATTTGGACTATGCATGTGACTAACTAGAGTAATCTAGTAAATGTAATATATAAAAAGATATGTGACATTGTGATTAGCCATATTAATTATGGTTTATGGAAATATGACATAATTAATGATTAATTAATTAATGGTATGAATAAAAGGTTTTAAGAGAGGATCATGAGTCATGCTAAGGGATTAGGCATGAGATCACTCAAAAGAGGCAGAATGATATTACATTGAATGATCAAATGCATCTAAGAATGTATTGTGACAAGATAACTTATTAATAGTATTAATAAGTATACTTAATATGCTTTAATTTGGACAGAAAATGATTATAAATTATGGGTGATGATTTGGACGTCCAAAATGATATTTTTGGACTAAGAATGACTTTTTGCATAAGCGTATAAAATTTCGTGGAAATCGGACCCCGTTTGGATGGTCAAATGGGCGTTGACCAAAATGTTGACCGGTTATAGGCAAAACCGGCGCCGGTTATGGTTCGGTTTACTAAGAAAAATCAGTAAACCGGCGCCGGTTATGGGTAAAACCGGCGCCGGTTATGTCTCGGCTTTCAGGACTGATTTTTGCTAAAAACCCAAATCGGACCCGGTTCGACGTGGGATTAATTCTGGCCAACCTATATATGAATATTTTGCATGGAATCGCATGAAATATGATGTTTAAAATGATAAGGCTTGGAATACGGTTTAAACGCTAAGACTTGGACTAGTCGTTAGTAAAGAAATTATAGACCACGACCAGGCAAGGTACGTGGTAGATTATACATGGTGGGTGAATACCCGGGACCAAGTAAGGTTATATAATACTCTGTAGGACCAGGAGGAGTCCTCTACACTCAAACGTTAACAAGGGCCTGTGTAGTCCTTAAGGTGTGGTATCCTCCAGCAAATTACACATAGGTAACAAGGGCAAGTGCAGTCCTTGAGGTGTGGTATCCTCCATCAAATTGCATATAGGTAACAAGGGCCCGTGTAGTCCTTGAGGTGTGGTATCCTCCAGCAAATTACACATAGGTAACAAGGGCAAGTGCAGTCCTTGAGGTGTGGTATCCTCCATCAAATTGCATATAGGTAACAAGGGCCCGTGTAGTCCTTGAGGTGTGGTATCCTCCAGCAAATTACACATAGGTAACAAGGGCAAGTGCAGTCCTTGAGGTGTGGTATCCTCCATCAAATTGCATATAGGTAAAAAGGGCCCGTGTAGTCCTTGAGGTGTGTTAACCTCCATCAATTTACACATAGGATGAGGGTGTATGCGTACTCCTCAAGGCGGGATTAACCCGGAAATGAGAACTATGATAGTAAGGACGGATAGTCCTCGAGGTAGGTGAACCTCAAGGTAATGATTTTAAGTGATTAAACGTGCTTGATCGGGAACGAGTTCCCGATAGGATATTTTCCTTGGTCTAGGAATTGATTTAAACCATGTCCGTGATATGGGAGTCCGAAGGGCCCCACATTAATTATATTTTGATATCGGGTGAGTTAGCCTGCGGGTGACCCCACTCGAGGGTAAGACATGGGAAGGGTGAATTTAATGAGGCTGTTACGCCTAAATGATTTGAAAGACAAATGGGCCCACGGGCCAGATATTTTACTCATATGTATATATGTATACATTTTGTTTTGAAAAGGGGTAGCTAAGAGTTATGCCCATATTGTACTATCACCCTATTTTGAGGGTCTCACGTGAGAAACGTTAGTTACATTACATACAGTTTGCCCTCACCAGTACTTTTCTGTAATACTGATCCCTCGGGGGAACCACCCTTTCAGGTTGAAGCTAGAGCTTACTTCCTGCACCCGTTGCTCGGGAGATCGATGGAGAGAAGACGTGGTTCGTGCTTCCTCCGGTTCTATTTCTAAATAATTAAATAGTGCTCATGGAACTATTTTGACTTATAAATTAATGGAGCCTGCGAGCTCTTGTTTTACCCTTGTGTGGGTTCTTATTAAATACCTATATTCCGCTATGTGTTTGATTGTATGTTGATGTTGTTATGTATGTTTACTAATCAGTTTTGGCATATGTATCTATCGGACGTCTTGTGCAATTCGGTAAGGATGAACTGCGGTTATTCTTATTGGGTTGTACGACGGTTGTCCACGTGGCACAGACGCGGTCTGGGGCATGACACTCTTTCCTTTATGGAATGCCTAAAATAGCCTCAGTTCGCAGCAACTTCAACAAGGTTGGATTCAAAGGTTCATTCTCTATCGGAATTATGGCCCCAAAACACCTTCTCCTTCGGTTAGATAAGGAGGAGGATTTTCTGAGATGCTGGCTATGGCAGACTTGGTCCTTTGATGGGTTGATTATGAGAATCACCAAATGGACTCCTACATTTAAACCAGGTATTGAATCCCCTTTTACCCCTACTTGGGTAAGTTTTCCGGGCTTACCTATTCACCTATATGATAGGCGAGCCATTATGTCTATTGCTAATCTTATTGGTAAGCCTCTGCTTATCGACAAGGATACAACAACTCTGGCCAGACCGACTCATGCAAGACTTTGTCTAGAACTGGATGTAACTTCCGAAAGGATTCATCAAATTTGGATCCAAAACGGTTCAACGGGATTCAAGCAGGACGTCTTCTATGAAGACCTTTCCCCATACTGCCTATCTTGTTTCCGACTTGGGCATGGTACCTGCAATAAGGGAAAGCAAACTGCAACCTCCTCCTCCTCCCCTCCCCTCACCGTCGTGCCCCTTAAACCAGGGCTGGTGCCACCGGAAACTACCCAAAATCTGAGGCCAAACCCTGTCCCCCATGCCCTCAACCGGGAAGGACCCAACCTGAATGCGCCTCAGACTGTGTCCCTTTGTCCTCTTCCTATAATTCACCCAACGCCTACTGTAACCTTATCCTCACAAATGGGTAGTCTCTCAAACCCAATCCTTGAACCCGTAAGCCTAAACAATAAGATTCTTATCCCATCCGAAAGGCCCATCCTTCCTACTGACTCCAACTCGAACCCACTACCCCTTGCCTCCCCACCAGACCCACCTACCTCAATCAACATAGCTCCAACCACAATGACACCCTGTGCCCCAACTAACCCAATCACTCTCTCCCAAATTCACACTGAACCTAATCCCATACCCACCTTCCAATCTACCCAGGTTTCTTCTCCAATCGCCCAGTCTCCGGTCACTGAAACCAACCCCATTCCCTCCGAAATTGCTAACTCCACCTTACAAACTACTCAAGCTACACTCACACTATCTACGACCACTGATACCAACCCAAATCCCTTTGACGTTGAAATTCCCCGGTCCCCTACTTCTAAGCCACGCCCCTTGGACGACATGCCCTACAAGGAAAGAACCCCAACCCTGGTTACAGTCGAGGAAGGCCACTGTTCGGATGGGGACAGTGGGGTGATAAAAGGCTCTGGTTGGAAGGCAGACTCAGTCTCTCTAACTAATAAATTGGATAAAGTTGCAAACAATGAATTATTCAAGGACTCCCTTATCCAAACCACTGCTAAGAAACTCACCAAATTGGTTTACAACAGAGCTACATCTCCTGTTCACACCAGATCCCAGACGTCAAAGGAAGCCAAGGGGCTTCGTCCCTCTGTCTTATGATAATTCTTAATTGGAATGTATGTGGTCTACTCTCCTCCACTAGTAGACTACAAAACATGTTACAACAGTGGAACGTGTCTCTTTTCTCGGTTATTGAACCGATGGTCCTATATGATAAAGCAGATTATTACAAAAATCAGTTTGGTTTTACAAAGGTTTTTGCAACGGTTGATAACAAAATTTGGTTATTCTGGAAAGACAGCCATTTCACGGTTCAGTCAGTCACAGAGGGTAATCAAGTCCTCCATGCAAACATCATAGACAATGCCACAGGAACTGTTTTTTGTTTTACCACCGTTTATGGTAAACACACCAGAAATGCAAGACTAATGCTCTGGGATGAACTAAAGGTCTGGAACAACTCTAACAATCTCCCTTGGGTCATAGGAGGGGATTTCAATGTGATGGCCTCTCTTAGCGACTTCATTGGTAAATCCATTCCTAAAGTTCCTGATATTATTGATTTTAAGGACTGTATTGATGAATGTGAACTAAGAGACATCCCATTTACCGGGACAAAATATACATGGACGGGTGTGCGCTCAACAGGCAGACTATGGCGGAGACTAGATCGTTTCCTTGGAAATGATCTTTTCATTAACCTCTTTGACTCGGTTATTGAAAACCATCTTCCTAGAGTATCATCAGACCACACACCAATCATTTTATCATGCACTAAATCTACTGGTTTGGGTCCTAAATCGTTTAGATTTCAGGAGATGTGGATTTCGCACCACTCCTTCCATGAAACTGTTTCCTCCACCTGGAAAGCATCCCCGCCAGGGACAGGAATGCGCGACTTCTATGACAAACTACAAGCTACGAAGAGGGCATTAAAAAATTGGAACAAGGCGACGTTTGGGGACATTTTTAAAGAGGTCCGTAAGGCTGAAATTGCGGCTGAAAGGGCCGAGGAATCGTACATTCACTCTCCCTCGGACTCCACTAGGTCTGAATGGTCGCAAACACAAGTGGAGCTCCTACTTAGACTCAAGCAGGAGGAAACTTTTTGGAAACAACGTGCCAAGATCAAATGGTTGGGCGAGGGTGAGGCTAACACAAAGTTTTTTCATAACTTTGTACGACAAAAACGTTGGGGCCAGCGAATACAGGCTATAGAGGACAGTCAAGGAAATCTATTGCAAGACACGGTCGACATTGCGAGAGCTGCTGTAGAACACTTTCAAACCCTATACACTGCCCAACCAGGGAGCGACCAAGCACATTTCCTGGGCCTTCTACCCAAGGTAATCACTGCAGCAGACAACTCCTACCTCACCTCTATCCCTCAGCCACAGGAGATACATGACACGATTTGGTCACTAGACCAGGACAGCTATCCCGGTCCGGACGGGTTCAACGGGAAATTCTTTCGGGCTTGCTGGGAAATTATTAAGGAGGACCTCTACACGGCCGTCCAGGAATTCTTTCAGGGGAAACCTATGCCTCAAGCATTAAACTCCTCGCTAATAACCCTTATCCCAAAAAAACAAAATCCCAAACTGTTCAGTAACTACAGACCCATTAGCCTCACAAATTTCCTAAACAAAGTGTGTACAAAATTTTTGGCTAATAGGCTGAAACCCCTCTTACCAAAATTTATCTCCAAAGAGCAAATCGGATTTATGGAGGGTGAAAACATTAATCACCACATTCTGCTAGCCAAAGAAGTACTCCACCACCTCAACCACAAGGTTAGGGCAGGGAATGTCGCTATCAAGCTGGATATGGCCCAAGCGTTTGATCGCGTATCTTGGTCTTTTTTGGAGGGCACATTATCCAAATTGGGGTTCGATGAGAGGTTCATCCAGCTCATCTCTACCAACCTGGCCTCCAATTGTATCTCTATTCTTATTAATGGTCAGCCCTGTGGTTTCTTTAAGCCACAAAGGGGAGTTAAACAGGGAGACCCCCTCTCCCCTTACCTATTCATCATTACAATAGAAAGTTTACACGGGGGCTTCATCAACTGTTAGAAAAACATGCGATTAGACCCTATCTAATAGGAGGATACCCCAGTCCAGTTGCGCAGTTGGGGTACGCAGACGACCTACTCCTCTTCTTGAATGGTGCAGCCGGTTCCATCAAAACTCTCCTTGACTACCTGCACCGGTTCTCCAAAGCCTCAGGCCAGTTGGTGAACTTGGGAAAATGTAACATTGTGGTTAGTAAAAACACCTCACTGGATAAAAAGAGAGAACTCCAGAAAATGTCAAAAATGAAGGTCACAAACCTGCCCATCACCTATCTGGGGGTGGTTCTTCATCAAGGAATAACCAGGCCAATCCACTGTGTCAAAATCATCGAAACATTCGAATCGAAACTACAAACCTGGCAGAAGAAGCAGATAAATCGGAGTGGACGGCTAATTCTGATCAAACACGTTTTAAATTATATCCCAATGCACCACTTGGCAATCACCAAATTCCCTGCTAAGGTCATTCAGATACTAAACCGTATCATGTCAAATTTCTTTTGGGGGACCAATGGGACAAAGAAAAGATATCATTGGAAAAAATGGGATCATATTTGCAGGCCGGGGGAGGAAGGAGGTCTAAACATCAGATCACTCATAGACATACACCATGCTCAACATCTCAAGTTGTGGTGGCAATTTAAAGAACAAAACTCTGTCTGGGCTGTTTACATGCAGAACAGATATGCTAGAAATATACCCATGTGCCATAAAGTTTATGACTCTCTCACTTGGAAACTACTTTGTAACATTGACCAAAAGCACCATGAACTGATTCATACCAATGAAACCTCACCTTTTTGGACCCTAGAAAAAGATGGAAATTTCTCTCTGACCAGTGCATACAACATTTCCCGTACCCCTCAGCCTATTTTATTTAGCCACACTCACATTTGGACCAACAAACTACCCCTTAAACTGAAAATATTCCTCTGGAAAGTTCTAAACCAAATCCTCCCCTTCCCAGAAACCCTATATCGTTTCCAAGTCAGTTTGGCCACTAGATGCCCTTTCTGTTGCAAACATCAAGAAAGCCTAAACCACTGCTTGTTTAATTGTTCCCTAATCAGACCCATATGGGACTATTTTTCTTCCATTTTGCAGGTAAGGAAAACAGAACATGAAGGACTCAGGCAGACACTCTTCCTTTGGTGGCTAGGGGGAAAGAATAACAGAATCAAGGACCATATAAAGCAGGCAATGCCAGGAATTATTATATGGCATATTTGGAAAGCATTCAATTCATGTGTGTGGGACGGTAAACAACTCTACTAAAATCACACAATTTTAGCAATCAAAGAGTACACCAGGTCTTGGGTATGATAGAGTATTAATCTAGAGAGAAGTGAGAGCTAGAGAGAGAAAGTGAGTAATTATATTTCTCAACCCCCTATAACTAGCCCCAAGGGGTCTATTTATAGGTAAAAATGTGGATTTGGGCTCCTAGCCATGGGCTTAGGAGGCCCATTACAATAATCATGCCTTCTTTGGGCGAAATAGGGCCACTAATGGGCTGTGTACAATACTTAGTAAATAAAGTAGAGAGATGCATTCTGCAAGGGCGAAATCTGGCCGATGCGGTGCCTTTTGCCGATGCGGTCTCATGGCCGATGCGGTCCATGGGCCGATACGGCCCTCCGGGAGTCCAGGCGTGCTTCCTGGGCCGGTTCGGTTTCTGGCCGATGCGGACCCACTGGCCGAAGGGGGCCACGTGGGTGTTCTTCTGGTCATCGTTGACTTGAGTATGTGGGCCATGGGGTCCAGGCCCATATACTCTATCAGGAGTCCCCCACTCTCTGAGCTGAGGCGAAGCCGAAGCGAAAGGGAGTACTTGTTCCTTTCTGGCTGGCCGTTGCGTGAGCTCAGGGTGCTTGGTGGCCGAAGAGGTTCTGCTTTGATTTTGGATGAAGCGGCTTCCTTATTTGAAGGAGACGAAGCGCTCTCGGGGATTTGTGGCCTTGATGCGGGCCGATGCGTTCCTTGTGAAAGTGTTTTTGAGGACGAGGCGATGCACTTTTTTTTTTCGTAGATGTGAATTCTGATGAAAAACTGGCCTGTCTCATTATTATCTGTTGGGGCCGAAGAGCTCCCTCACAACTTTTTTTTGGCCGCAGCGATAACGTCGCTTTATGGAGTGGAGATTGATTCTTAGCTTGTCATGCGGCCGAAGTGTTGGTAAGTCGACAACCCTTTTTTCATTTGTGTATGCTTGTCTTGATAAGCCGGCGCAGTCCCCCAGTGTACGTGGCCGTTGCGCGCTAGTTTTATTTTTTGAGACTCTGTGGCCGATGCGATCCGTAGTGCCTTTGAGGTGAATTGTTTGTCTTCTGTTATCGGTGAGCCGTAGCGCACCCTCTTGCTTTTGAGGCCGTTGCGCTCCGTTTTATGTTGTTTCCTTTCCTGTAGCCGATACAGTCCCCCAGTCCCCCACTCCTTTGGCCGAAGAGTAGTCGAGGCGCAAGGGAGTCATGATGTTCTCGAGCCGATACGGTATCCCATGCGTTAGTCGTGAGTCCAACCCTTAGGCGAACCTGTCCAAGGTAACCCTGTGGGAGAACCCTTGGACGAAGGCCGCGATACCAGGGTCATCGTCGAATGATGTGTGCGTGAGTGGCCGTAGCGGTACTCGTGGTTTTTAGGGTTACCTTGGGGCCGTAGCGTGCTTTGCTGATGCGGCTATTCCTTTGGTAAACCGGGCCGTTGCGAGTTCTCCTTGCTCTTGAGTGAGTGGGCCGATGCCCACCCTAGTTTGGGCTTGTGGGGCCGTAGTGGTGGCCTTAGAGTGGAATGTGAAAAGACGGGCGCTGATTGGTCCTAGGAGAGGCGCCGTTGAGGTGGCCAATTGGAGGTTGCCACGTGTAGTGACCGTTGGAGGGGTTGCCTATAAGTACCCATTAACCCCGAGGCGGTACTCCATTTGCAACCTTGCTGAGCAACGAAGTGCTGTCCAATTTTTTAGAGAGAGAAACTTCCGGAGCGTTTCTTCAAGTCTTCATCAACCTTTTTCAGATCTTCAAATCTTCCAAGGTCAGTTTCTTCCTTGTTCTTTGTTATTTTCTCATACTTTGCTTCCTGGGGGTAAGATCTAGTGTTTGTAGGAAAATTCATTTAGATCCGAAAAACCGCCCTTAGGAATAGGTTTAGGTGTTATGCTGTTCCCTAACGGCCGTAGCGTTCCCTCCCCTGTTGATTTGACAGCTTCTTTGGACGAGACGGATTGGCCTTTTGACGACGAAGGCACGTCTCCTGGGGTTGACCTTCGGATAGTGGAAGCCTTCGAAATTGAGATGGAGCATACAGCCGACTACCGTACTTCTGTAGACGAAGAACGTATGAGCGACGACGCTGGTGCGCAGAACTCTGGTGAGGACGAAGCGACGTCCAATTCGCCTCTGAGGGGGGATGGGGCCTCTTCATCGGCCAATATTCCCTGCCCCCCTCCGGTATCTTCCGTAGCAGGGGAGGGCCCCTCGGCTCCAGGGACGAAGAAACCGTATCGACGGAAGCAGCGCAAGGGAGTACCGCGGGGGCACTCGCAACTTGACCTCAGCAATTTGTACATTATCCGGCCGGAAGGGACCCTCGGCGAGTACCACGTTGCTCAGTTGTATGTGGGGCCGTATGGACGGGTGCGGGCGCCCAAGCCGACGGATCACGTGTTGAACCCCCCTTTGGGTTATTTTGGGGTATACCCAATGAGTTTTGCGAAGGGTTTGCGGTTCCCCCTCCATCCTTTCATCAAGGAATACCTTGATATGGTGAGTTTACCTCCAGCCTTGTTGACGCCCAACAGCTACTCGCTCATCGTCGGCTTCCTTATCCGTTGTGATGAGTTGGGCTTCTCGCCGACGACTGCGCTTTTCACCAACCTGTACCGGATAGGCCGAGGGAGCCATCAGAATTGCGCCGGTTATGCTGCCTTACAGCAAGTTCCCAAGAGGAGGACATTTACAGATCTTCCTTCGTCTATCCATGGCTGGAAGGCGAAGTTTGTTTTAGTTAACCTTGGCCGGGGCGGTTTCTTCCCTTCTGTGGGTCATAGCGGCCTGTTCGAGTTGCATAATCCTCCGTGGAATGCCGAGATCAGTAGGCAAGTGGAAGCTTTTATCAAGGGCGGGCCAAGGAGCATAGCAACATACATTACGGAGTATAAGATGGCCGCCCTCGGCTTCGTGAGATACTACTGTCCTGGTGATGTGGACGATGGCTTCTGGCCGAAGATGGAGGGGTCTTATGAACAGGCCGACGGTCCCTCACTTGGTGTTCCTGCTGAAGCCGAAGGTTGTCCTTCGTCTTTTACCTTTCTCGTAGTATGTTTGCTTGCTGTTTTACTGATGTCCCTTTGTTTTGTGCAGGTTTTGTCATGGATCGAATGTCCTTCATTGCCTGGGCTGCAAAGAAAGCCGATGCGGAGCTGAAGGCCGCTCAGGCTGCTGAGAAAGCAAAAGCATCTGCTGGCGGTTCTCAAGGAGGTGCTGAGGCCGTCAAGAAGCCTGTTGCCAAGAAGAAGAATAAGAGGACTGCCGACGAAGGCCATAAGACTCTGGCCGAAGCCGGCCTGAACGTGGTGCAGGCCCCGAAGAAGACAAAGAAGGTCCCTGTTGGTGATGAGGTCGGTGCTCCCTCCGCCCAAATTGCTGAGGCTGCTCATCCAGCCAAGACCCTTCCCCTGGTGGATCTGGATGAGGGGCCCTCTTCGGCCATGGTCGCCACGGCCTCCCGCGTGGCTCCTTCTTCGGCAGCTGCTGCCCGCCTAGAGGAGGCCCTTGCCAAGGGAACGTACGAAGTGACCGTGCGCTACCCGGTGAAGGGCGGTCTCTTTAATGAGACTATGAGTGGCGACGACGTGCTTGCTCAGGCTATGCGTTGACTTGAGTATGTGGGCCATGGGGTCCAGGCCCATATACTCTATCAGGGTATATGCAAATTCACACAGAAAGGGATTTGAATTCGACCCAGAATTACATACAGATGAATTAATCCCATATGTCAAACACCAAAGACACACATCCAAAATCAACATCAAATGGCAGCCAAGTGATTCTAAGCAATTTACCTTAAACACGAACGCTTCATTTACAGGTAGTAAGGCTGGTGGGGGAGGAATCCTTCGTGATACCGATGGAAATCTTGTCCTAGCAGTTTCCTTCCCCCTGTCAGTCCGAAATCCCCTGCAGGCTGAAATCTCCTCCTTATGCACCTCCATACAAATAATCGCAGAGGAAGGATACAAAAACTTTGAGACACAAACTGATTTTGAAACATGTGTCAAAATGCTAAAAGGTTCGGTTACAATACCTGGTTATCTTAGACAAGATCTTGACACCATATTTCGTCTCAAACGGGCCTATAGCCTCACGGCTGCTCACTGTCCTCGAGAAGGAAACTTTGTCGCTCACTACCTGGCCCAAACAGGTCTCCGTTCGCCGAAACCCCAGCCGATTTTCTTCACAATCTCCGATCTTCCCCCAAAGGCGAAGAAGGCGTATGTAAAGGATAGGAACAACGCTACATACTTCAGAGATGCCGGATAATTCCCGATGTTAAAGAAGGAACACACAACCTCTCTAGAAGCGTCTTCTCCCTACCGAGCAGATATTCCCTTGGCATACTATGTTTGGATCGGCTGGGACACCAGTTATTTTGGATCGGTAGCTTGAGCCACAACGATCTGGGACTAGCCCTTCACAGTTTTTATTCCCATTTAGTTTCCTTTCAAAAAAAAAAATAGAGATACATATACACATGGCCTAACACTCTAGAAGGGAACAAATGCATGTTGTCATCATAATATTAAAAATTTCAACGTAACACTCATCCAAACAGCATGCTATACATTTGGCTAGCCCTTGAGAGAAGAAAACAAAAGTAGCGGTAGAGCAACAGGCAAACTCGAATATCACGAGTTAGAAGAAAACAAACGTAAGAATAGAATAGTCAATAATAATTCTTAGTATTAAAAAGGTGCTAGTAGGCATTAGTTCTTGTGAGTCTAGAGAAAAACCACGAACAAAATGACACTAAGGAAAATAAAGAGGAAGAGGGCCGCGAGATAAGATGCTAAGGGAGGAGAAGCAGGGAGAAAAGAGGGGATAAAAGCATAGGAGGAAACTAAGAAGTAAAAATCTTGTCTAAAATTTTGAAGTTTGTGTTCATTCCCTTCTCAACTTAAATCATATGTAGTATTTAATAAGCTCTACAATTTTATCACATTTATATCTTCCTGAAATGCATTGTTTAATAATATTGTCATTTCGTCCTACTATGACACTTAGTTATATTGCCATGTTTTATTTACATTTTGATGTATTATCATTTGAGAGAAATGCTTTAATAATTTCGATTTAAATGATTACCTGTTTTTAAGTGTTCAAGAAATGGATAGTAAATATCATAATGTAGTGCTGATAGTTATTGATTCGAAGTTAACTATATTATTCTAAGAACTGATAATTTTATTAATTCAATTCTTAAATAGTAAATATACCTATTATTATTAGTTAGAGAAGTTTTATATTACTTGAGATTTTGTAGATTTATGACTTATAATTGAAATATGAATCAATACTTTTATTTTACAAATATTTCTTCCTATTGTAAAGAAGTCTGTACGAAGTATTAATCAGTTTTTTTTATTTAACTATAATTAAGTTATGTTATTTATAATAGAAAAAGGAATTAATACATATCTTATTTTCGGAATAACATATAATGAATAACTTTTCAGACTTTACGTATAGAATAGAAATTTCAGATTTATATATATGCCTATTAGGGAAAGTTTCAAACTAAACTATAAACCAATTCAAGGCCACCTATTTACTTTAATTAAACTTCGTACCTTGTTATGATTAAGAAGAAAGCTTTTATAAACCCACACTATATTATAAAATACAGATTTATAATTATGTACAATATGCATTTCGAAACCTATTATTATGGATCTAATTTGTTAAATGATATCATAGTATAAATAATTAATTTCCGTTAAAATAATAATACTAATAATATGAAGTGTTCGTTTTTGTCTAACTAATTAAGTTTGACTTCGAAAGTGATCCAATTGATATTTTCAAATGGCGAATATATGTATACTGTTAAAACCAACTCTTAAAAAGTTACGTTAGTCACAGTTTTACCAGAAAAACTAATTAAATTTTCATAATAAAATTCGTATTCCAAACGGCACACAGTAATGTAAATTGATATTTTAAAACTGAAAACGGTATTTAAGAGGGAAATTTACTAGAATATGACTAAAACTCAAGGAGTTTCTCAATCTATGACCTAACTAGTTTTTAGACTTTTCTATGACCGAAAATCCATAAATAAAAAGCAATCTCGTTTGTATTTATAGGTTCATGACGAAAATACCCTTATTTAAAATATGTGTATTTTGCACTAATTTCGTCCAATTAAAATTGATGCACTATATATTGCTGTTACTGCACGTCTTTAATGCGCTACTTTACTGCACATCCGATAATAATCACTGCACTTCCGTCAAAACTAATTCTCTTCTCCTTTACTTGAGGAACTATTTTAATTTTTAATTTTTTGTTTTTTAGATTTCATTATTGTATTATTTTACGTATATTGCATTTCTTGATGATATTACTGTTTTGTGTTACTGCAATACTGGTCATAATCACTGCACAACAATTTTTTTAATGCTTTCATTCACTGCCATGCACAACATATCTATTATCATATATATTCACCGTTCATACTCAACACTTATTGAAATGTTCACTGCCGATGTTTAATGCACATACTAAACATTATCTATTGCGGTGTTCAATATTAATGTTAATGTCCAAAAACCCTAATGCAAACAAATCGAAAATGATGAACGAAATCAGATCTAAATTGATAATTGCCTACTATACTTGATTTTGAAAACAAATTGCACACTACTGTATGGGCATCATCATTGGATGACAACTACCACAAGTCAAACTACTATACTTCAACAAGTATCCCAAATGCGTGCACTGTTTTAGCAAAAATTATACTAATCTAAACAATCAATTGAGAAGTAGGGAACGTGCAAGATATTAGTCCATACTCAATAAGAGAAAAATGAAAATATATGGATTATGGTTGACGTGCAATTATAAATACAACGATGAAAAGTAGTGTGCTCCAGAATGATCGTAGTAGTCTTAGTGCATGGCCACTATCTCTATTTATACAAATTGATTCATCCTATTCTAATGCACAGTCTAACTACCCGACATGTCCGCCTCCTACTTCGTAGGATTATGGAGTTAGTTGTTTGACCCTATCACCTTGCTCCTCCTTTATTTCTATCTGACCTTTACAATTCTTATCCGCATGCTAAGGAAATTGGGCCATAACGGATATTCCTTCACCAAGTCATGGACGGTAATCTAAGTAATTACTTCAATTATTATTTGGCCCAACAATTGCCCCCTTTCGAGAAGTTGAAGCATATGTCAAGCCGTCAAGCATCAACTTGTCGAAATTTGAACAACTTAGACTTGCCATCATTGATTTTCGCACTTATGGATTCGTCATCAGTTTGTCAAGACATGTCGCCAACCACTCACTCGTCTAACGAGACGCTTCTATCGATCCGTCATTTATCTGGCGAGATGCTTTCGTCAACCCGTCAATCTTCAGATAGGACGCTTCCGTCAACTTGTCGCTTTCCTTGCAAGTAATTTTTGATTGAATCCGTCTCTTTGACTGAAGCGACGAAGAACGAAGGCTGGCCTCCTATCCTCTTCCTCCAAATTTGTGCTAATGGATCATAACAAGGCAATGCTGACGAGATGAAACTTCATCCAGGTTGATGTCAAGACTTCAGTTGATAAAGGTAATTTTGTCCCTCATTGGATACATGACGAGTTTGGCTCTGTGAGTGTGACCATAGCCTGCAAAAACTTTAAATAGTGTTACGTTTGTGATTCGTGTTCATGTTGTTTGTACTGTCTCCTTATGTTGGAGCATGTGCTTATGTATTTTTTGTTGTCATATATGTTATGGTTGCACGTGCGTTGTCATATATGTTTTGGTTACTCGTGCGTTGTCATATACGTGTGTAGGTTTTGGCCAAAACGCATTGTATGAGCTCTGTTAGGACTGTGATCTATGATATTCTCATGGGCAGCCTAACCCTTCTCATTTTGATGTTTGAGTAAAACGCTTGGCTGATGTGAGCCTGATTGACGTCTTGTAACCTTTATAGGTCGCTTCTTTAGTTGTCTGAACTTACACTTCAACATATCCCTGCATCCGTCACAAACTATCAAAGTTGGTCGTTGGCTTTGGGCCAACGACCCTCCGATGGTTAAGTCAGTATAAGGTGACTAATCAATCTTTAGGAAAAGGTCAAATCAGAAAGTGAGAAATAACTTGCAAAAAACGTACAGATTGATATTGTAACCTTCCAACATGACGCTTTGCTTGGCTCCCCGTACCCGACACGTCGTCAATAATATAATGAACTTATAAAGAAATGAAAAATATTAAAG